TAGGCCACAAATTGCAGTTGGAAAACTGCCGCACACATTTTGCTGCCGCTGCCGTTTGTGTTGCCAGTGCCTGTGCCTGTGCCTGGCCTGACCTACGACACCATCATGTGCGCCCGAGTCCCAGTTCCATGGCCATGCCCCATCCCTCTGCCCCTCCCTCTGTCCGCCTGTCAAGTTTTGTGGCGAGTGAAACTTGAAATTACTATTGATACTGATAGCAACTGCAGCAGCAGCAGCAACTGCAACTGCAACTGCTGCTGCCTTTTGCGGCTTTTAATCTGTGCGCCGTAATGCGTTACGGTAAATATTTTTGCTGTTAAGATCAAAGCTGGCCATCAAAAGGTTTTCATGTTTGTGCCATGTCTGTCCATTATTTGGCTAATTGAGCGCTGCGTTTGGGTCAGAGCAATGCGCTGCTGCCAATTAGCAGAGCCCGCTATAACCCCTCACCCCCCCTCCCCATCCCCCACCCCTGGACCAAATCGCAACAATAGAGCAATCGATGTGCGGCCAATTGCCACCAGGTGCGGAGAACTCAATCATCGCCAGTGGCCAAAATGCAATTGCTGAGCTTAATGCGCAAAACGTGAGCCCAATTTGCATGGCGACAACAACAACAACTAACAACATCTAACAACAACAACAACAACTAACAACAACAATTGCTGCAGCCACAATAAAGTCAACCTTCATTTTGCAGTCCAATTCTGAATGCATTTCACACATTTTTCAGCATGACTCAGTTTTGTTAAAGATTTATTTTGCAGCCAACTTGCACCATTCATTAGCCATTTGTGTCATTTGAGCTCATCGTTGGCTAAGAGCTAGAGATGGGCGCGTGAGTGGCAGACAAATATCGAATACGATCAGAGCTAAAGATCTAATCATATAGAAAAAAAGAAGAGACTATTTGAAAAGACAATATGAGTACTTGTAATCGAAGAAATGAAAAGCCATGCAATATGACTTTGCATGATATTAATTAAAAACTTATGTTAAGTTTTAATTAAGATATGACGTTTTTTAATTATATATTTAAGTCCAGTTCATAGTGTATATTTTATTACAATAAATTAGTTTTTGGTGAGAATAATGCATGCATTAGATTAACTAAGCTCTATTTACTTTTGCTATGATACAGTTTTATACCTATATATACCTTCGCGTGTCACGCGCCCATCTCTAGCTGAAGCACTCGACACCTGTGTGAATATCGCATAATGATTTCCCTTTGTCTGACGCTCTGCAACAGTTTGCATTACAAGCCCAATATGATAATTATTGTGGCTATTATTATTATTCTAATTGTGATTCTGATTATTATTATTATTAGTTTTTGTGCTGGCAGTTGCGTGTCACGCGCCCATTTCTAGCGCCCGCAACCGCCTGCTTGTTGCAGCCAGTCGGATAGGTCACGTGTTTGTGTTTTTCGTGTGGCACACAGCAAAATATCAGCAATTGAACTATAGACATTTTGCCCAAATCCAGTAAATAGCCGAAAATGCCGCGCTCTTTTTGTGTACAATTTTTGGTAGCAAGACGGCGACGGTTGGCTAAGAGAGAGGGGGATGGAAGCTGCTTTCATGTCTTGGCCTGGCTGTGTTGTTGTTGCTGTTGTTGTTGTTGTGGCAAGGCGCATCTTGCAAGCGTTGCACTAAATGTCAAATGCAAATGCAAAAGCCAAGCGAGCTGCCCACCACAAAAAATAAAAACTGTAGCTGCCACCTGCTAAACTTTCAGCTAAATTTTAAGGTAACTTTTTTTGTGACCTCAGCTAATTGAAAAAGTTTAAAGTGTTTAGAAAATGGCAGAAGGGGCGATTATTGACCCATAGAGAAGGTACATGTACATCTGATCAAAAGGCTAGTCTTAGTTAAAAGAATATATATAAGAAATTTGGGAAGTATTTATCGATACGCAATGATTTTCAGTTGAAGCTTTGTGACTAAATCTCAAAATGTAGGCAGAAATTTATTATGTAGGCTCTCGAATACTATACGCAGATTACAAATCTTAAAAAAACAATATTTTGAGGTACATCCTTGGGCATTCGTACATGTACACTTCTGAGTGCCATATTGAATCCGTGAAAATTTCATAAAGATCGGACAACAAGAACCGAAGTTACTTCAGAGTTCCTTTCAGTTCTGTGAAGGACTGCGTGCAGGAGAAGCATGTCTGTTGCATATTGTGATCAAAGTACATTTGAATTCATGCTGCGGCGACTGACAGTCGTTCACTCCCCACCAGAGCACTCTTACCTGCAAATACCTGTGTCCAGTGTCGGGGTCTGACACTCATAATTAATACGCTTAACTTGGCTTACTTAGTTTCAATTTGCACGTAGCGCTGACAAATTTCTCTCCACCCTTGTGGTGCTTCATTAAAAAGCCATTAGAGACCTGCCCGCGCCGAGCATTAAGAAACTTCTGACAAAACTTCTCTTTCTTGATGATGATACGTAGAGCAGAAAATTTGGCCCAGCCAAAAATTACGTGTGCGCCGCACAAGTTGCCGCATCTGCCGTGGCATCAATTGTTGTTGTTGTTGTCAACTTTGTTGTTGTCGTTCGTTGTGCCAGGTTTTCTTTTGGCCAACTGCGTGGGAAATGCCGTCGATCGGTCACGATCAGCAATCAGCAATCAGCGCTGAAGCGATCAAAGCGAAGACACAAACCAGCTGAAAGTACATGCAAAATGCAAAGTTGATTTTATCGTTGGTTGTTTGTGTTGTTTGCGTTGTTTGCGTTGTTTGTTGCTTTCCATTCGTCTGGCCTTTAAAGTGATTTGCCACTTGACAAATGAGCTGACTGCCACATGTGCAATTTAAGACAACAACAACAATTTGTGTTGCCAATTTTCGCTCAACTTCGCAAGACAATAGTCTATGCCTGGCTTGACAATTTGTGCATTGATTTGGAAAATGGCTGCAACAAATGGCCAAGAAAATGGAGCGCACATATATATCTATGTATATATATCACATACATATATGAAAATGACATGGAAAAGCGAACTCTCGAACTGCTCAAAAGAGAAAATTTTGGTGGCGCACAAACAAAAGAAAATTGCCCAGAAATTGGTGCTATCAACAAAAGCAACTGTGCAGAACATCTAAAGTCAATAGCGAGTGCAGCAACAAAACCAATCCCCGAAAAAACAAAGAACTGCAAAGAAAAACAAAAAAATAGCATATTGTTACCCTATGGAACTGACCTTCAGTGCCGTTTGCTGCTCACATTTTAAATTTGTTTGTGAAGTTGATTTTTCTTTTGTTTTTTTTTTATGGGTGCATATACCCTGTAAGTGTGCAGTGAGTGAAGGGAGGCTGGCATAAATAATGTATGCCAAAGACTATCGAAGACTATTTACATTTCAAGCAAAAGCTGAGTTCGTCTATGTGTTGGTTCGTCTGACCTGTCTACAGGGTATCTGTGAGTCGAGCACTGGTTACTGCTGCATTCTGAAGCTTTGTATATATGTGCGTGCAAACATAAGCCACTGCGAAAGCTTCGCGTGGTTCATTCGATTCTGCGTACAGGGTATTCTCGAGCCGAGCAGCTTCTTACTTAAGAAAAAATGTGTGTATTTGCGCTTTGGACCTGCCCATACATGAATAAGATACTGCGAATGCTTAGCGCAATTAATTCGGTCCTCCGTACAGGGTATCTTCCGGTCGAGTAGCTTTTTGCTTAAGTTAAAATGTGTGTCTTTGCGCTTTGGATCTGTGTATACAAATTTAAACTCAAGCAAATGCTTATCTCGGCTTATTCAAAACTTCGTACAGGGTATAGACCCTGTCGAGCAGCCTTCGACTTGAGTAAAAACATGTGGCTGAGCTGTTAAGACCTGTATACAGGGTATCTGCTACTATGTGTATGTAAGCTAATGTATGTCTCATATCACACATTTCCGGATACAGGGTATATTTCAGTCGAGCAAACTCCGCTAATGCACTCTAGCTTGTTTCTGCACACACGAACATGCCCACAGCACACACAGATATATTTAAAGGCCCATAAGAACTTGGGTGTCTGCTTACAGGGTATCTGCTAGTCGAGCATTTGCTGCTAATATACTCTAGCTTGTTTGTACACACATGAACATGCTTCTTAGCACATATAAATATATTGAAAGGCACATCAGAGCTTGGCTGCCTGCCTACAGGGTATCTGCTAGTCGAGCACACTCTGTTTTTTTGTACACACATGAATATGCCAAACAGCGCACACAGATATATTTACAGGCACATCAATGCTTGGATATCTGCCTACAGGGTATCTGCTAGTCTATCACTTTATGCTTGTACATTCCAACTAGTTTAATTTTTTTATTCTTATTCGATTTCAACACAAAACGTGCCAAGTTCTGTTTTTTTCTGCTGGCACGTTTCACAAATTTAAAAGAGTTCAACGTGAGGCAAAGGCGATGAGAGGCACGGCGAGGCGAGGCTTTTGGTTCAGATGCGACTCCTCTGGTCCACACACACACGCACACCTACACACACACACACGCACACACCAACACAGAGCGATTGCCCATCCGCAGCTCTGGCAGCCTTATCAGCCGCACAGCTGGCAGATAACAGGGCGAGGTGCACACGCAGGAGGTGGAGTCGGAGGCGCGCCTGGCCAGCTGATAGCGTCGACTGCCGCCCAATGAGTGCGGACCACTCCGAATGGCATTCGATTTAGTTGAGTTCGCAAAATCAAGTGCAAAACATTTCCAGTGCGCGAATTCATTTCGAAATGTTTGGCCTAATGAAATTCTTGCTGCTTGTGCTATGGCTAATTGCTTTGAGCCAAGGGCGCTCGAACACGGCCAGAGATTGGCATGAGGTGGGCCTTAAAACGATATATATATATATATATCTCTATATATTCATTTGATATAATTTGCATGCTTGCAGACACCGGAGCCGGATCCCACAATATTTGAGAACAAATCGCTTTTCGAGCTGGAGCTGCACTTGAATGACGTTGACTACAATTGAATATCGTCTAGATTTGAATAAGAATTATATTTTTTATATATAGCTATAAAATTGAATACGCTGATAAGCCTGTGCACAGCTCGCGTAAATATTATTTACATTTTTTTATTTTATTATTATTAAGCATTTATGATTAAAGATGAACATTTCGCTGTCTAGAAACGGAAGGTGTACTGCGCGCCGGCGCCCCAATTGGGCCGACTGTTGCCGTAGGGTCCGCCCAGGTGCTGGGAATACTGTCCCGTCGCGTCCAGCGAGTGGCGACCGTTGGGACTCTGCCAGACGGGCGCGCGTCCATTGACGCTCAAGTCGAAGCCCTGACGCGGACTGCCGCCGCCCTGCACATTCAGCTGGCGACGCACGCGAAGCTGCTCCACCTGCTCACTGGGCGCCCAATCGTTGTTCTCGGCCAGCTGCAGGTTGGGATTGGAAACCATAAGACTTAAGCGAAATAAAATGCTGGGCGCTGCACTTACCAATTGTGCGGCCGGCTCGTCAACAACTGTCAGACGCGGATCAGGGTAAGCCCAGACACAGGCGCAGACGCCGAGGACGAGCAGCAGCAAACTGAGTTTAAGTTGCATCTTGTGGCTTTGAGCTGTGATGTTGATACTAAAATGACGAATGAATGGCGCCAAGTGCTTTATATATGCTTGAGGCCCATAGACAAGCTCGCCCGTAGCAGGGAATCCCTTGCGGCACATTGTCTGGCTCAGGAGACTGTGCTTCACAAGTGAATACCCGGCGCAGCCAGCTGATAAGATGCGTGATCTCTTGGCAAATAAAATGCTATGTTGATAAAGTCTAGTATGTAAATCCCCGCCAGATGAGCCACAGCAATGCTAAGATCTTCAATAGAGCTGCAGTTATAATTGAAATTAAAGACAACTATTTCAAAAGTATTGGTCAGTTAAACAATTAGATCAACTGATAGCTTCAGCTTGACTTAACTTTTATCTGGACATACTATGGATAGATACTAGGGAATACTCTGTACTCATCTCCGAACTGCGATCATAAGCATTTTAATCTTCTTCAATTCATTTAGACATCACCAGCAAGGCCGTGCTTCTTCTTCCCCCCGTCGCACATAATGGAAAAGGCATTCTTGTATAACTTCGGTGCTTATTGTCCGATCTTTCATACAAATATTTTATATAGATAAGCACAAGGCTGAAGCCTTAAAAGGAAGAAGGGCGAAAAGGAATATGATCAAGAATATATATATGTAGTCATGTATATGTGCTGATCAAGAATATATATCCGTAATGGAAATATCGCTCTCTCTCTCCCTACCTATCTATCTAGCTATCTATCTATCCATCTTTATCTCTCTCTCGCTCTCTCTCTCGCTCTCTCTCTCTCTCACTCTCTCCCTCTGACCCTCTCTCTATCTATCTATGTATCTATTGCTCTCTATCCCTATCTCTATATGTTATTATCTATCTCTCTCTCTTCTTCTCTCTCTCCCTCTCTCTCTATCACTCTATCTGAGAATTTCGCACCTCTCAGGCCATACAAAGCAATAATACCCAATACAGGGTCTTCATAAATTCAATCATAAATAGCACATAATTATATGCCAGATATGTGGCGCGTGTAAGCCAAACCCTTCCTCAAACGAAGCGAAACACATCAAAAGCGCTTGCCAAGGTCAGTTTAAATTGCCAACGAAAAATGTATGCAAATTATTTTTAGTTGAAAATCATTTTGTAATTCCCGTTTCGGGAGTTCTAGAGCTGCGAAAATGATTCATTTGAATTTGAAGTAATGTGATATAGTAGGAACGCCCACCCTTGAGCCAATGGCCTTTTCGCTTTCGCTGGCGCGTTCTACACATAATTAATACAACAATTTGTTGAACAACATTTATTTATAGACTTTTGGCTTAGACTGTGGCATGATAGATTTTCATTGTAGCCCCTTTTGACAGTTAACGCAATAAATCCAATTAAGAAAAAACATTTTATCTTCCTAAACATTGCGGCAGGTTTCATTAAGCAAATAGTCGTTGACGTCGTGTGCGCTTAATTTGTTATTACCAACAAGAATTAGCCAGAAAACAGGAGAAAAAACAAATAGAAAGAAAAAAACAATATGAACACATGTACAATTAGCCAAACTGCAAGCTCATCTCGATGGATTGTCAGCAGTAAATTAGACTCTATGTTCCGGGGTAGACGAACGGGTCGCCGTGCTCAAGGATAGCCCAGACCCAGCCCAGGTTAGGCATCTTTAAGATGTTCGGAGATTAGACAAGAGAAGCTAGCTGGGTGAACAATATATAATATAGCTAATTATGCAGGTAGTCAATATACTCTACAAAATGAATAAATGATATGTTTTAAATAGTTTTATTCAAATAAATATTTCATTAATGTTCAGTACATTTTTGTTCTAATACCGCAGAATATATACAAATACTTGATAAACAGAAAGTTTACTTAAAATCGAAATCTGTAGTTGCCACCCACGCCATACGAGGGCTTGCTGTTGCCCCAGGGTCCACCCAGATGCTGTCCATATCTGCCGACCACATCGACCTCGTGACGTTTGTTCTCGCTGGTCCAAACGGGCACCTGAGCCTGGGCCCACACGTCCTTGCCGCTCTTGTCCTTGTTGTAGCCGCCATCCACTAGAAAACGCTGCTCGTTTGGCGGATTAAATTGCTTCCGCTCGGTCCACACATCTCCCTTCGGCTTGTCCTCGGGATTGGGTTGGGGCATGGCCAAGGCGGAGCCGACAATGCAGCAGAGCAAAGCGATGAGTGTAACCTGCATGTTGTGTGTGAATCTGGAGCTGATTGACTGATAATGCATCTAGCCGGAACAGCGAGATTTTATAGCTAGACCATGCACCAGTCCGAGATGCAAAGAACCTAAAAAAATCACCGTGGAGCCGCAGCTCTGTCCTTATCTGCCGAGTGCTTCCCCCGGGTGATTCCTCTTGTTTGACTTGGCGTCTTTCTGCCTTGGCGCTTGTTTGTCTTCAATTAAACATTTTTCATTGTTTTCTTTTCGTATTTCCTTGCCCAATGGCGTACGTATATAATCAAAAATACATTTATTGTTTTTTTTTTACTATTAACATTTATTGAAATATTTTATTGACCATGCGGAAAAACATTTGTCTGACATAGTTGGCTTAAAGTTATGACACATTTCTGCTCTGACCACAGATTCTACATGGACACACACACACGCATCTGGCAAGTGTTATTGTTAATTTTTGTAATTTAGCATTCATTGATTTATGAGCATTTTGTGGCTTCTGTGAAAACATTTTCAGCATTTCGTGTTCATTTCAATTTTTACGAGTCTCGTCTGTGCGGCTTATCAGCTGCTGATAATGCCCATATAGCATGAATAAATTGTTAAATAAATATTGTGTACTGATTTTTTTTTCTCGGTTAAATATTATAAACAAATAGCGAAACACAGTCGCACAACGTGCATCAGTCGAGAGAGTTAACTTTGACAGAGTGCAAAATGCGGCTGCGAATCATTTACATAAATATTATGGCCATATTATTGGCTCTGCTGTGCGGGGTAAGTGGTGGGGTTGGAGGTATAAATGATAAATGTAACTACTTTAGCAGCTCTGACTAACTGTTTGCCACCTGCAGCTGGGCGTGGCACAAGTCGATGATGCAGAACTGGGCGTGAATGGGGCAAGTGCGCCCGCCAAGAGCTGGTTTCCTGTCTGGGATGATGCCCGTGGCGATTGGACGGATCGGGACAATTAGTTGACACATGTTGTCCAGCTTGATTTGTTATTAATATATATATGTATATATCTATCACAGCTGTGCATTTTAGCTGAAATTCAATTTTCTCTATGCGCTTCATTAAACACGCCAAAATGTTGCAGTCATACTCGTTCCAGCCAGACATTATTAAGTTGTATTGATTTTATGAGCTGCCACGCCCCGAGTGGGCGTAGGCAAGATATTATTGAATACAGCTTTAGAAGAGCTCATTAGCAGGCATTACTCCAAATTGGATCAGTCTAGTTCAAAAACTGTTTTGGTTTTAGATAGATTATCGCGGCTTACTCGTACTCCTCTAGGGGGCGTGGCTCAAAAGATTTCCATATGCAAATCTCTAGGATATGAACTATGACAGAAGAACGGCAATAAAAATATGTTGTTTTCTGGTATAAGCCATGGAATAATTGAATCTAACTTTTCTTTATTTATTGAATATTAATAATTAATTTAATAATAAGTTTACGTCAATTCCGTCGTACTTCTTATTTTGAATAACTTACATTCAGTAAAATATAAAAATATAAAATATAGCTGTACTTATCATATACAACACTTACATTGATCCCACATCTAATTTTACCTAGAAATAATCTTCTTGTTGTCAAACTATTGCCTACTTTCAGGCTAAATTCGGGCACGCCTAGAAGTATGCAACTAAAATTCAATAAAACGCGTCAGTCAGGCATATAACTTCTAGTTTATGACTTGAAATAGATCTTACGAGTTCCCTAGACCAACTGCGAGGTCTATTGCTAAAATCGACTGTCCTTTATATATATATATATACATCTATATATAGCACACCAATTTGTATTCGAGCTTAACACCCAACAAAACTGTCGCTCGATGCATGTCAAAAATCAATTGCCCGCAGTTCAATGCACCTCGACGTGGAGTGCGTGTTCAGCCCATGATAATTGCGGCCATTACAAGAGGCGGTAAGGGAAACAATGTGTACTCAAAAAACACCCAACTTTGTAAAGGTAGATACAATCGAATAAAAAGGAAAAACAATATCAACAAAATGCCTGCAAGCGGAGTAAGCACGACTGTCCGATGCCCTGCAAAGTATACACAATAATTGATAGCATAATAAGAGGATTTATAAATTTCATTGAGAGATATAGAATTGAGAGATTAGAGTTAAATAGACAAATAACTTTAAATGCGAAAAGTTGGCCGACTGTATGATACCCTGCAATATGATACAGTAAAGTTGAAATGAAACTTTGACCAATTTTACAACACTGTTCTGTATGATCTAAAATTCATGATTTACTCAGAAGGTACTATTATCTATTGATACCCTGCAATACGCAAAATTAAACTTTGATCAATTTTACAACACTGTTCTGTATGTTCTAAAATTCATTATTTACTCAGAAAGTACCATAAGCATAAGCAATTATGGAAATTAATACATATCTTATAGTCGGGATTTTGGAATTCGTAAAGTACACAAAATAAAAAAGAACATAATCAATAAGGTTTTATTTAAAATATAACAGATTAAGCTTAGATAAAGTTTTCATTAGAACTTCAACCCCTTATTCCTTCTACTTGACAGAAATCAATACACCACTTTTCACCTTTGTTACAGGGTATACAAAAAGTGGCACACACAGGCCACAACAGCACTCAATAAAATAAAAAAGGCTCACACCCCGTGAAAATCCCACTTCTAGCCACAAAATGGCTCAGCCTTTGCCCCAAATGAAACCCTCATCAATGCGGCAATTAAGGATTCCCCCAAGATTGGGGCATGGAAATCGGCGTAATATCCCTTGTTTTTTTTTTTTTGATTTGTAGGCCTGGTGCCAGCTTTTGACACGCTGCGCCAAGTGCGCTTGCCAAACGCCATTCGATTTGGGGCGCGGCACGCCAAAAGGGGGGGGCGGCAACGCAGAGGCGTGGCAGGCGCAAAACTTTGTGGCTGCAGTGCATCATTGCGGCAAGTTTTTGGCCAGAATCGAATTTAACTCCACTAGCTGCGGCCTAATTGCGTTAATTTCACTTGCATTCCAATTCCCATTGTTGAATTGTTTCTTGTGTAGCTGCCACGCCCAATTTGCCAGGGGGGGCGGGCCGGAAAGAGTGGGGAAGGGTGAGGGTCGGCGCTTGCATGTTTCGCGGCACTTTTATGGCCTGGAGCGCGCTCTCCTGGCACCGCTTGTGCATGTCGACGACATAATTGTTAGCCACACAAATTACACCAGGCAGCCGGCGCAGCCCTCCCCCACCCAATCCCAATCCCTACCCCTCAGCCACACGCAGTGACAAGTGCAACAACCCCTTTATAGAAAAGTACCCCCGCGCACCGTTGTGCCTTGACCCAACTGCAGTTCATTGACCTTGCGTCAAGTGGGGAGACTTTATAAATTTTTGTTGAGTATGAAACGAAAACCAACTCTCAAAAAAATGCTAACTAGCTGGATGTTGAATCAGCGGGCCGGATCGCCGCATCGCCAGCCTCGGATTGACGCTTCATCAGCACATCCATCATGTCCTCATCCTCGAGCTCCAGCGAATTGGCGGTATCATTATCGTTGATCCGTTCGCCATCGAACGACAGGCTAGCCAAATCCTTGGACAAGCCCATCTGCGAGCAATACGCATCCTTCAGCTTGCCCAGCGGCATCAGGCGACGGATGCGGAAGAGGACAACGCCCCGATCCGCCGATTGCATCTTCAAGGTTATATGGGGCGAAATACGCAACCCAGCATTTTCCTCCATTCTAATATAGCGTTTGGCTATGTCTTTGGTATATTAGTATATATATATATATAGGTATATATATATATAGGTATATGTGTATCTTCAAATTTGGAATTGATCTGTTTTGTGTACTGGGACTAGACAAATATATGTTTTATTTTTAGGCTCAAACATTTTGTTAACAACTTTTAAATCAACCACGTGGCCTACTTGTTGTGGTTGTTGTCATTGTTGTTGTTGTTGCAGTTGCAGAAATGTTTGAGGCCACATCAGCAGCAGCCGTGCCGAACAAGTGGAAACTTAGTAATAAATAAGATTAAATAAGTTCCATTGAGGGTTTCCGATAAGATAGCGTCCACTTAAGCTCTAGCCAGTTACTCCCGGCACGGACCGCGTATCTTCGAAATGTTCCCAACTAACAGACAAGCCCAGTGACAATCATATATTCTACCGCACAGTGGTTGAAACCGATGAGAAACCAGCCAAAATATTATCTATTGTGCGTAGCGAATGACAGGAAATGACAAAGATCTATGCAAAAGTTATTATGAATGGAACTTGTTAAATTCTATTCAAGTTAATCAGGTTTATTAAGACTACGAAGTGGAAAGTCATTCAAAATGCTTTCGCAGTGGTTCAAGTGCTGCAAACTTATCTCCCAAATGATATTTGAGATAAGGGAATGCGTTTTGGAGCCTGTTTTGGAAAAGTTAAGATTCGGTTCGTTTAAAACCTTTTGGTCTACAATTTTTGAAGACTTTTTGAAACATTCAGAATAAATGTACTAAAATTTTGTGCATAAATTTCTTACAGCTTTTGATAATTTAAAAAAATAAATTAAAAGTAAGTTAACTTGATTAAATTAAATGTTCATGTCTGAACTCCTTTGAATACCTGCACAGTAAATGTCTGTAGATTGTAATCAAATATTTCAAAATGAAGAGAATCATAATTAGATTGTACAAAATTATATTAATTTTCTAAAAATAATAATTATATATTTAAGTCGCATTTTAGAGGCTATATTTTATTATAATTGGCCATATGGCCTTTTTATATGGAGCTAAATATAAATTATTGAACAATATTATATATATAGACACATATTTATATGCAAATAGAATTTTATTTTACATGCATATATTATATAACAAAAAAAATCCAAAAGTTTAGTATATATAATTTTATATAATTAATTTTCTTTTTTTTATATATATAGTTTAATATATAAGTTTTTGTCAGCAGTTTAAGGTGCAATACTAAATAATTTAGTTCCTTAAATAATAATAGTTAAATATAAAAATAAAATAATATCGATTTTTTACTGTTGTTTACTATATAATATTAAATATTTATATTTATATATAGCGTTTAATAAATATTAAGCAATTTCATACCTGATATTAAATCTTTTTATACTTATATATAGATTTTAACATATATTTATAAATTCTTTTATATTTATATATTTATAAATCATTTTATGTTCATACATATTATTTAATAAATCCCAAACATACAATTTATAGCTAATATATATAGCTAAAACTTGAAATTTGTATATGTAAACGTGAGCTAACCAATTAGCAAGGCAGTTCAATGTATTACAGGTCAGTTTTAGAGTACATATATATATATATAAAACCAACAGACGCTTCTATATGCAAAAAACAACAGACAAACATATTCACTATCAGCGCACATTTGAAATTATGTTAGCGTACCACTGTGCGTAAAGGCGCACTATCATATGTTTCATTTATTTATACATATTACTTACTATATGTTGATATAGTATAGCTTAACAATAGCTCTCGGCCGTGCCAAGCGTCGGTCGTCAGTTGGTTTACGGCGAGCACAGAGCGCGGTTGTGCATATTCGATTCATTTTTTGGGAACTTGGGGAGAGGAGCTCATTAAAATTTAAGTCATTAGGCAGATAAATTATCAAAATTGTTGGTTTGCTTGGACGGATTTTAGCCAATAATGAAGTGCCTGGTTATATTTGGACTGATTGTGGCCGTATTTGCTGGCATTGCGGGCTACGGTTATCTGTTGTTCACAGACTTGACACGTCCGCTGCCCAGGCCAGAGTACAAAGACGATACGTATTGGGGACCCGGCGATGGCAAGAATTATGTGCCCGATACGAAAATCTATGATTTCAAATTGGATGTGCCCAAGGCGGAAATTGAGGATTTGCGACAGCAACTGAATCGCACACTGCGGCTAACCGACCCGCTCGATGGCATCGCCTTTGAGTATGGCTTCAACACGTACGCATTGGAGCAGTTTGTCGAATACTGGCGTGACAAGTATCTAACCAAGTGGAAGGGGCGCCAGGATTATTTGAACTCGCTCAAGCAATACACCACCGAGATACAGGGGTGAGTGTGTGTGTGTGTGGCTGA